TTTTAGTGAGGGAAGGCTGACAAACATCAGAGGTTGGTAGTTTCTTGCACCACCACTGCCTTCTGAAGTTGATCCTGGTGAAGACTTTGACCGTTTCTTATTTATGGCTGTACCCATGGTTGCCTTGGATAATACTGGTAGCTCCACAGCTCCAGGGGTGGAAGACTGGCATTTGCCATTTGTTGGCAAAGGGGTGTCATTTTGGGATTTTATGCTGCTAATGGCTGCTGTGGGAGTGGACATTATATCCTTGCCTTTTGGAGGTGCAGGACTAGTAAGAACATAATGACCAATGAAAGTCTGTCCCATTTTTGTTTTAGTATCTCTCCCTCCTTGCTTGGTTTTGGTAATGGACTGTGGACCCACTGGCCTTGATTCAGTGCTTACAGGCATTGTTTTTTTCAGTGCTGGTGAGGCGGAATGTTCTACAACTTGGTTGACATTTTCATCTTTTGTCAAATCTCGAAAAAAAGTTGACAGATTGACATGTAAACATATCTTCCCCTTAATGTGCCAAAACTAATCTCACAATATTATGACTTCAGGTATATGCCTTCAGGAAGCATTTCTTTTCATAGATTCAGTAACAAAAATTAAATGCATGCCATAACAGTCCCCATGGAGCACACTTTCCATGTGATATTCTAATTAAAATTAAAATCCAGTTGTAAGCTACAATACCTATCACAGAGAAATTCCCCTGCTGCAAACTGGGGTCTTCTTGTGACAGTGGAGTCTGAGTACTGGGAAGGAAACCACCTGCCATACTGGTATTCAAACTGAAAAGGAGAAAACAGAGGGCAAAATCAGATTATACATCTGACTGGGATAATAATGCGAGATGGGTACAAAAAAAGAAAGAAAAAAAAATTGGATAAATCATAAAGGAGGACTGAGGGAGGAGGCATCCTGTTAAAAATCTTACATTTGTTTAAAATGAGCTCAGCTAGTGAGCAAAAATGTTCATTAGTTTGGCAGTTGGATTGTGAATGAAAATTATCAAACACCAGCCGAAAAACTTTCATGCAATTAGCTTACGGCTATCAACATCAGCCGTAGCAGCCACCCATGAATAGGGACTGGGGACACCATTTACCTGCCATTGATAAGAGGGTCATGGCCGCTTTACCACCTAGCAGTCAGTGAGGGTCAACATCTGCTCACATCAGTCTGATAAAGGCCTAAGTTCAGGGGCCGTAAGCTAACAGTATGACAGATTTTCAGCTTGTGTTTGATAATTTTCATTTATTGACTTACCTGGTGTTAGCAATAGTGTTGGTGGGTGGGTTCTCTATCATAGACTGTGTGAATTCTTTGAGAGATAGTCTGGCCTGGGTGAAGGTCACGTGGTTCTGGACTCGCTGGCGTACCCATTTAGAAAGACCTGGCAACAATGTCCCTTATGAAATTATTAATCTTATCTAAAAGCACAAATCAACAAGTATTATATTGGAAAATCATTTAAAGGAATCAAATCAAATTTCAGGTTCATATGGACACCAGGATAAAAATATATTTATTTATTTATTTATTTATTTTTTTTTTTTTTAAATCTTAATACCGATTTCATGAATTATATTTATTCATCTATTATTTTTCTTTAAATTTATATTTCAGGAATGAGACTGCCATTTAGTTAAAAAGTCAGGAAATATGGTGTTGTGTCCAGGGGTTGCCTAGGCCAATACAATTTTTGGCTCCCAAAAAGTTAGAAATCTGCTGATAGTTGGAAAAATATCATCCCTGATATTTATTAACTTATTTATTCTTTATCTTGAGCATCAGTTTTAAAACTTTCAAGCACCCCACCTTTTGTATATTTTTGAGGATTATTTCCAAACCTCTGATCCACCAAGATGAGTGCCCCCCAGTCCCTGATGTGGCGTATACACCTGCCCAGGGCCTGGTTGAGAGCACGGTAGGCCTGGATCTCGTACCACTGCGCCCCTGTCAGCAGACCGCGACTGGCGTGGTGCTGGTTGTTATAGTTACGCTTCAGTTCCACCTGCAGGTCCTTCACATTGGGGAATGGGATCCCAACCTGACAGATAATAGAAAATATTGGGAAAATTATATTTTGAAGTATTAAAACTGATGCTTGTGGTGAAAAAAAAAATGTGCCACAGCCACAACTGTTACAGTTAGATTTCAAAAAAAAAAAAAAAAAAAAAATTACGATGAGAAAAACAGCTATACACACTTAACAACTTTGGGGCACCAAATAAATTCAATGACTCACAAGGGTTGTATGGCAACGTTGGTACGTAATTGAGATTATACTTTGACAAATCTATCTTAAGTTTTGGGACCATATAATCATTGGATGCTCTGGCCAGATGCTGACAACAGAATAAAACTTAAATGTCTTGATAGCTTTTTAATATCAATACTTTGCCTCTGTTCTTCTTTTCAAAATCAGACTTCTTATAATTATATTATATTAATGCCCACAAAAGAAACAATCAGAAGGTAGTCTCACTGTTATCACTGCTCTAGCATTATTATCAGCAAAGTCCAACCCCTCACTGACTTTCCCTCGGCACACGGCAATAAACAGCGCACCGTCCTGGCCCCCGCTTTTAGCTGGAGAAGAATACCAAATACATTTGATAAAATACCTTCTTTCACCTAGAACTTTGCATTATTTCAATATGCAGCTTTGATTTCTGTAAAGATAATTGTTCAAAGTATTTCACATCCGCAAAAGAGACAAAACTGAGGAAAAAGTTTTTAAAATCTTTTTGACCAATGGAAAATTGACTACCTGATGACAAATTGTTTGATGAAAATAATCAGACAAATTATTTAAAGCATACAATTAAAAATTCTAACCATGATCCTAACTTATCTTTTTTTTTTTACCTCCATCTGCTGTTTCCTCAATGGCTTGATAAAAAGATTTCATTAGTTCATCAAAGTCCACTTTGTCTGATGCTCTTGGCTCACAAAACAAGGCTTTCTTCTCCTGCAGGGCTGACCCCACCCCTGTTGTCTGGTGAAATATTATCAACAATTTCAAATACCAAAATACTAAAAACATTACATAAAGATAGGCAAATACTTGAAAATATATTAATCCTCCACTTATTTTTATTTTCTGGTTTAGCTTAATGGAAGAGCAAATGTAGTATATTACATCCTATTCAATAAGAAATTTAAAAAAAAATGTAAAGTGACTGTCACAAAATATTCTTTTGTTTATAAACAGTGACAAAAACATCCTGCCAGTCTCACCTCCCACCGTGCTTTCAGCTTCTCCAACATGTTATATGAGGAAACAAACACCAACACGCCATGAGGAACAGTCTGCAACACACAAACAGTATGAAGTTTTTAACAGCACATTCTAAATATCATGACTCAAATCATCAATGTTTGTCGCTTTTTATCAATGTTGACACAAAACATGGAGATAAAAAGTGACATAATCATGCTTGTTGAAATTTGATAAAATTTCTCCAATTTTGGTGAGGGTGTTTGGTAACTTCATGGAATTCTTCTGTAAACTACTCTTATCTACCTTACTCCTTTTTTTTTTTTACAAACTGTCAAAGTTAAAATCAATCCTCATGTACTATGTGACCAGTAT